TTCCTGAATTTCCTCCCTGCCTTTTCCTGCATCATGAGGATGTCATCATCATCTTAGGGGCAAGAAGGGGGGGGAAGGGAAGCACAGCAAGGAGCTCTAAGAGAAAGAGAAGCAGGAAGCAGCAGCCTGCTTTAAAGGAGCACAGCAGGGCTTGCAGCTTCCTGGTTCTGTCTGCTATAAATGACCAGTTCCCAGAAAGGCACTGAAGATAAATTGTCAGCAGTCTCAGTGCAGAAAAGCACCCTGACTGGAGCGGGACTTAGGCCTGTGCTGTCCTAAATCAGAGCATGTAAAGGAGTAACTCTACCAGCAGGCGAGAAGGTAGAGGGTACAAGCAGTCATGAAACTGGTGTAATTGTTACCACTCTTCTGTTGACATCTAACTTCAACATTCAGTTTTGCTACGTCTGCCTTAATTCCTGTAAGATTTCTTCTTAAACTAAATCCTAGGACTGCGAGAGAACTTAACGTTGTTTTGACCCTGCTCTTGTGTGATGGATCTCCTTATAAAGTGTGTACAAGCAAGGCTTTCTAACAAATAAATGCCAATACTTTGCAGGCTGTTGGAGTTAATGCCTGTAGTGCTCGTACCATATTGTTCCAATTGTAAGTTGACCTATGTTGAATTAGGAGAAACAGTCTTTTCCCTGAGTATTACTCAGCTACACAGAAGGAGTTTGAACGGTTACTGCCCTGACAAAGTTCCACAGGGGAATCAAATAACCAAGGAAAGGACCCACAGGGTTAAATGCCCCTAAAACGCCTGAATAAAATCAAGTGCTGACTTGATATTTTTCTTGCATGCGCAAAAAAAATGTGGGGGCCCCTTTAGGGTGAAACCTGCACATAAAGTGTGTTTTTTATGGTTCTTTCAGTGTGAGGGAGGACAATAAGAGATTTATTTACTTTTCTTAACAGTTCAATCCCTGGTGCATGCGACTCAAATCCAGCCCTAGTGACTTTCAGTAAATGCCAGGAATTAGCCAGCTGAGTGGCTGTGTCTTAAGTAGGTCTAGGTCACAGCTGGCACAACAACTTTTCCCAGGGGGTTTCTACACTTGAATGTTCAGTTGTATTTTTAATAATCTGAGAGCAGGAAAGATGCAAGTGTTTGCCCTGAGACTAAGGACCAATGGTCTGCACTCTGAGATTGACATTAGCGTAAGACACGACTGAAAATTCAGGTGCAGCATCCCTGCTGGAGGCATAACAGGACTAGTGATGCACCATCAGGAGCTGATGGGCAGGCACATAGGCTTATTTTTCTAGTCCTAAACAGGCTTCAGCTTAATCTGTTGAATGTTTTCCAGCAGCTTGTGCCCCTGGGCCTCCTGAGAACAAGAGGGATTGTGCATGCAAGCTGCTGTAATTTCCCTGATTTGCCCATGGCAGGTTAGAGTATTATGTCTTGTCTTGCATCATGGTTGATGGTAATTTTTTGAAGAGTTTAGATTATGGATTTGTAGAGGATGGCTTGGATAGAGATGACCTCTGGAGGTCCCATCCAACCCCACTTCTCTGATTTTATGAAGGCAAAAAGTCTGGCTGGTGCCTACGTAGAGTTTGGTACAGTTGAGCTTAGTCAGCACTTTTGCATATTCAGTGGAAGGAAAATTTAGCTAAAAGCACTCATCTTCCTCTGCACCCTCCTGCACAGAGCCCCCAAGGACCATGGGACACAAAGGAAAGAATCCTGTTCCACTTTACATGCCCAGATAGCAGTGTCCCAGCTACAAATGGCTATGTAGCTGCCATTTGTGGTCCTTGCACACAGTTCGCTATCCTACTTCATGTGCAATGTGCATACATTAGCATTCTCATGGCTACTGAGCATGCTCAGTGGACTACCTGCTGGCCCAGGGTGTATCCTGGGTGAACTCAAGCAGGGGGACTACTGGTAGCAGGCTGCACTTGCCGAGTGGCTGGGGCACTTGCCCAGAAAGCAGGAGCCAGTTTCTAGTTCCCTGACATTGAGAGAGACTTTGGAACTCCCGGCTCTCTGACTTCCTAGCCACTCTCCCCGAGTCAGACATTATCCAAGTCTGCTTTCCAGCCTGTCTGGCGAAGCTAAGCTACTGCACCTGGTATTTAATAGTCATTAGATGGAGGACAGTGGAAAAGCTTCTGCCCCACTGGAAAGCAGAGGCCCAGGACTAAAGCCCAGGACTTACTCCTATCTTGAGAGAACAGCCATCTCACTTAGCCACACACTCTCTAGCTTGTTTTCTCTTTCCTGGTCTCACGCTCCTTCTTGGCTGCCTAGAGGGGGCAGCCTCCAATTTCATTGCTGGAAGGGGCAGGTTGTGGACGGGAGGGTGCTCATTGCTTGGTACTGCTCTGATGCACATAGTACTCAGGTATTCAGCTGATGTCAGTCTCATGCAGATGAATTGTTTGCTCCCTATGCTGTGCATCAAGATCTTCCACTCTCCTTGCAGCCCAGTGTGGTGGAGGCCAGGTGCCTACCATATTAACAGGCATGCTTCTTTAGCTCATAGCACTTCAGCTTAATCCATAGGAATGTAGCAAACCTAACCTCTTTTTGCTCATCTCACGGAACACTCTTAAATATTAGTTGCAACCAGGAACTTGTTTCCTTCCAAAGCTTTTAGGCATAAGAGCAAAACATCATTTAACAGGAAAAAGATAGTGATAAAAGGATCTGACACTGGCAGCTTTGAAAAGTATACTGGAGATTATTGAACAGTGCAAATGTGACCTCTCTCTCTGCCGGGACTGCAGCCAACTGGCAGTAACTAGCACTCTCTTTGTATTTCAGGTAATGCCTCTAGATGAGATGGCATGTATCAGGCAGTCTCTGGATGGATGACAGGTGTGTTCCAGCAAGGGACTGAGCAGTACCATTTTCTACTCTTACAGTAATGCCAAAATGAAACCATTCAGTCATGTACGGACTCGGTGAAGCTGGGGCACTTTTTATCAGTGTTTGTGGTGTGAGAGCTATGCCAAAGGATTATTTGCTTACCATGTTTTTATTTAATTTTGCAGTTTAAGTTGTTATATGAAGGAAGGAGGGACAAGTCCTCCTCAAAAAAGCATTCATTGGTATAGTCTTATTTGCTTTTCCCTTTTTGAAGTTGCGTGTTCCATTTTAGCACTGTAGAAATGTCACAATCCCCTGGCTTTCTGAATGATGATTCATCCAAACTCAGTGCCTCTGTGTTTTGTGATGCTTTGCCATGATGCACATTTCAATTTCCAGTAATGCTGGGTGGTTTATTTGATCATTGCTGCATTTATTTTTATAAACTTTTACTATATAAAACGTGACAGTAGAGATCAATAATGACTGTATCCTCTTCTGTTTCTCGGAACCAACCCAAGCACTTGATTCATTCTCTCATCAACTACAAAGCCAATTTTGCACGTGTTCACATGTAACTCAAGTGTGTCAGGTCCAATGCAGAAAGGTCAAATGCTCTTTGCTAAGTGGATAATAATTAAATATGCCAAAAGCTCTGAGAACTTATTTGGAAGAGATGCACAGAACTATCTTAATGTGAGTTGAAGTTCATAAAACGTGGTCACAGATGATGTCAGAGTTTTCTATGAATCAGTAATTTCCCTTTATTTCTTTTTTTATCAGTTTCTGATGGCTTTCTTTACATTTTCCCTCTGCCTTTTCAAAATAATGATGGTTGACTGATATAATAAGTACTTGAAGTATATAGAAAAATCACGCTGGAAGGAAGCTTGAGAGATGTACCTATATAAACCATCCTAGTCAAGTGTCTGTCAAAAGTGTTCTCAAAAATGTCCAAGGGTAGAAATTCCACAGCTTTTCTGGGTAGCTTCTTCCAATGCTTAACCCAAGGCAAAGAAATTCTTTCTAATATCCAGCCTAAATTCCCCTTCCTGCAATTTGAGACCACTGCTCCTTTGTCCTGTCCCCTGCAACCACAGAGAATAGTCTATCACCATCCTCCATACAGACACCCTTTCAGCTATTTGAAGACTCTTATCAAATCCTGTTTTCTCTCTTCTCCAGACTAAATCCAGTTCTTCCAGTGTTCCATTGTAAATCATATTTCCCAGGCCTCTTATCAGTTTCAGTGTTCTCGGCTGGATACTTCTAATTTGGGCACATCTGTCTTGAAGCGTAGAGCCAAAAATTGAAGTTAAAGAATTGGTACTCCAAGTGAGGCCTCACCAGTGCCAAGTAGAGCAGAATCGCTTCCCTTCACTTGCAAATAACATGCCCTAGCAGTGTACAACTGGCTGTTTTTTGTAACAGGAGCACACTCTCTGACCTTACAGTGGGCCTTAAGCTTATGGCCCACTGTAACCTCACATACTTTTCTGAAGTACTGCAGCCTAGTAATTATTCCTCAATCTATATTTTGTATGTGTTCTAAGTGCAACATTTAGCACATGTAAATGTAATTCGATTTAATATTGGACCATTTATCTTGGTTATTCCGATCATTCTGAATCCTAGCCCTACGCTCCACAGCGTTTACAACTCCACCCAACTTTCCTAAGTATGCACTCATATCTTCTGAATCCTTAATGAGGATATTAAGCAATACCGGACCTAAGACAGACCTAGGGCAGACCCTACTTGATACCTTCTCCCAAGTGGACATTTAGTCTTTGATGACTGCCCTTTAAGCACGAAGATCCAAGCAATTATGTACCCACCTTACAGTACTTTCATTTGGCCCGTTTCCTTAGCTCGTTAATGAGAATGTCATTGAAGGTGGCACTGTCAAGTCTTGCTAAAGACAAGGTACTGGTCTCCCCCCATCCACAGAATCTCTCTCATCTTATCATAGAAGGAAATCAGATTGGTCAGGTATGACTTGTTCTTGATTAAATCAATGTTGGCTGTTTCTGATCACCTTGTTCTCCAGGTGCTTAGAAAGATCCCTTGATTACATGGTCTTTCCAGGGATCAAGGCCAGCTTGACCAGTCTAGTCTGTAATTCTATTTTTCTTACTAATTTTTTTAAAAGGTGGCTACTACTTGCACTTTACAGTCACCTGAGTCCTCACCCAATCTCCAAGTTACCAATTATAGCCAATGGCTCTGAAATTACCTCAGCAAATGTCTTGAATACTGTAGGATGCATCCTATCTGGCCCCACTGACTTTAAAATATCCAGCTTCTCTGAATAATCCGAAACCCAGACTCCCAGTACTCCTAGGCTTCTTCTTTTCCCCTAGCCTTGATGCCAGCTGCTTTCAACATCTGATAGCAAAACTTGTTCATGAAGGTGAACAGCATTATAATTTAAGTCATCCCTTAAATCTCTATTACTAGATGGCCAGCTGCATTCAGTGAGGGACCTACATTTCTGACACACTTGTAGAAAGTCCTTTTGGTACTTGTTACAGTCCTTGCTAGTTGCACCTCAGTTTGTGCCTAGGCCTTCTTGTTTGTCTCCTTTCAAGCCCACACAGTACACTTAGACTCTTCTCTAATAATATGGCCAAGTGTCCACTTTTTGGTGGGATTTGAGTCTCTCCTAATTGAAAAATTCATTCTTTGGGTGGTCGGTCTTCTGCTGCACTTCCTGTCCTTTTTTTGCATCAGAATAGCTTGCTCTTGGGCCCCTAACATGGCCTCCTTTAAGTACATCCAACTCTCCTGTGTGCCTTCTCCCCTCAGACTTGCCTTCCAGGGGATCCTACCCAACAGTTCTCCGAGTTCATTCAAGTCTGCTTTTTAGCTGCTTTCCTTCAGATCTTGAACTCTTATTGTTTCATGGTCACTGCTACCTTTTGTGCGTTCCACCTTCATTCTCAACCACCTGTTTGTGAACAGCAAATTGAGGCACTTCTTCCTCTTAGTTGGTCTCCCAACCACCTGTAGAAAAAAGTTCTCCTTAGCACACAACTGAATGGACAGTCTGTGTACTGCTGTTTCCTTCCCAAAAAATGTAATTTAAAGGCCCCCATGGGAACCAGAGCCTTCCATTTGGAAACTTTTAGTTAGTTGTTTGAAAAAGCCTCATCTGCTGCTTCCTCCTGGTCTGTAGTAAACACCCTGCATGATGGCACCCATGTTGGTCTCTGCTTTGACACTAACCGAAGAGCTTTCACCAGACTTACCTTCTACTGAGCACTGCGCCAACGCACGTCATACATAGAGCACCACCACTACTTTTCTCTTCTGCCCGTCATCTTTGGGTAAGTTGTACTCATCTATGACATTACCCCCATGATACGCAAATGAAAGTAGCATATTGTACCCTATGTATGTAGTAAGGGATGGGAACACCCCCCATCCTGCCTCAAAACTGATTTATACTTTTTAGTGAACCAGGTGCCATGGTGGGAGATGCTGATCATTAAAACCATGCCTAGATGCAATCTTGAATTAGGCCACCATTTATGAAAATTGCTGAGCTGAAATGGAATTGACAGAGGAGAGAGCGACAGCAGAAGGCAACATTGAGAACCCTGTTGCAGCAGCATGAAGCTGTGTCCATCCTGAACTGGTTGCACAAACTTTGGTGTTTTGAGGCCTTAAAGACGGCCTGCACAACAACCAAGCATTGGCTTGCTCTCATTTCGTAACCTGAAAGGGTATATCTCACAGTTTTGCTTCCTCCCCATTTTAACTTTAGAGCTATAAGACAAGTGTAACAAAGTTTTGAGGATATTTGGAAGCCAGGCAACTGGAATTCTCAGCTTTTATATGAAGGTGTATAGGGAGCCATCATTTTTCATGGCCCCTCCCTTCCAACTATTGATTTGACAGGAAAGAGTTTCCCTTCTCAAAGTTTTGAATTGAAAAGTGGACAGAAGAGGGAGCTTCTTTTTGGATGTCAGCTGAACAAATCTTTATTTCATGTCCTATAGAAGCTTATGGGGGGGAGGGGAGAGGGAAGGAAAAGGATTGTGCCACCTTAAGATCAATTCTGAAAGGGGAGAGTGCAAACATTTTAACTTAAATGGCAAAAGCCCTAGCCTTTAAAATGTTTTTTTCTGACTGAAAAATAATGAAGGTGAGAGACAAGAATTATTTCTACTGAATTAAAACAGACTTGTGGCCAAAATATATTTAACCTGTTTCTAGTTGTAACCCTATAGCCATCCACTCTTCTATTGATGGATAGTCTAGTGAAAGTAAGACAGTCTGAAGTTAGCAGTGCTTCACCCACACTGTTGCATCTTACACAAGGAGTAAGAAAAGGAACCATTTACTCCTTGTAGGTACCTTTATAGCCAGCTGCAACAATAATTTCAGCTACTTATATTGGTCCAAAGCAGCTTGTTACATATATGCATACAGAATACACATAGATGCATGTGTATTTGTAAGCAGGCTGGAACCAACCAACAGCTATTGGCATCTTGCTGTTCCACTGCCTTTAAGTAAATTGCCCCATACTAGGCAGCTACATTCCAAATAAATACATATTGAATCCACCCCTTCTTGTGGAGAGAAGGGCCAGCAGTAAAGTTGGTTTTAATGCAGATTTGTACAGTTGTGGCAGAAAGGAATAGCTTTTATTTTGAAACATCTGAGAAACTTACTCCTTTGTAAAATAAATTTATAAAGTGCAGTGTGGCAGGTAAGTTACCACACCAAGATCATACACCTCTATAGACTAATTGCAAAATCAGTGCCAGTAGTCAATTATTGCCAGGGGTTGTCATCCTTTCCACTAGCTCCCCACTCCACATCTGACCAGCCAGGCAGCACCTAAGTGGCCTGTAGATGGGCACTACTACCCTCATGCCCCCACCTGCCTGTGTGTAGCTCCTAGAGCCTTCCCAAGTACTCACAGGGGTACACATACCCCTCATTGACAACCCTGGTTTAGTGGAATAATTAACTAGAGCCTTCCTGCATCTTGCCCTTGTATGAACACCAGAAGTGAAGGGCGATTAAAAAAAAAATAATAATACAAACAAAATCTCAGCTAAGGTTAACTCTAAGGCTCTGAATAGAAATCATAAGGAGCCCTTGTCTTGCTTTCACACCATTATACAATTGCAAAATACTTAAAGTGCAAAGGATGGAGCAAAGATGCAGTTACCAGCCCTTTTAAAGGAAACTGTTTGACCCATTAGTAACAAGTTTTGCTTATTAGAGATGCTTAGACAGTGGCTGCAGGTTCATGGCAAGTCTTCTATATCACTTAAGTCCCTGGGAACAGGGGGTAAGGACAGCACAAAGAATAAATGAAGGTACACCACATTGATACATCTTGGACATAAGAACAGAAGAGAAGCTGTCCAGTAGTTCAGAAAGGTGGGGAAATTAATAGGCATTTCATCTTGCAGTTGGGTAGGGAGCACAAGTCAGTATTTAGGTGAGAACTGCAAGGTTTTGGCAAGATGTTGGACTGATCCACTCCTTCAGTTTGAGGGAGATCAGGCACAAGCGACTGCAGGAGTAGTTGACTGATGTTGCAATTTCTGCAGGAGGCAGCCAGTGAACTTGGAGTGGAGGAAGTCTGTAATGGAATGGGCAATCCTCAGTGAAACAAGCACTTCCCCTCTGCTGTGGGTTATGTAGTCCACCATTCTTGACTCCCAGTGTTTCAAGAAAGACACCTTCATGGAAAAGCAGTTGTAATCAGACCCCTCCCAATTTGATGGGACAATAGAATGGCTCACTGACTTCTGCCACATGACACCACAAAAGGAGGAAAGAGTATAGCGTGGATGTAGCTAGAGAATTGAGTTCTGGCTGTTATCTGAAGGTTGTAGTAGTTTCCAGGTTTTACCAACAGAATAATGGCTCAGACTAGGTGCCTTGGATTTGGAGGAAGTGCTGTTTGACTATACAGCAAATGAGCTTTAGTCCTAGCAGCATTGTTACAGGGAGCACAGACCAAGTGGAAATACCAGTTCAGCTGCCTTTAGGCATGACAGGCTTGCACAGTACTGTAATATGCAAGTTCCTGGGAGCCCTGCTGACTCCACTGAATGGAATCAGGATTCCTTAGGTTGAAAGGGACATTCTGATGTTCTCCATCTCTCTTCTGCCAAGGCCATAGTTAAGTCCCTTCCCCTCAAGTTTTAGCACTCATAGAAACCATAAATGGAACCAAGCCCACTGTAGTCACTTAGCAGAACAAAAACTTAATGGTATAGCCCAAAGTTGGTTTTGCAATACTTTATTACTGTATATTAACAGTAGGTTTTGGATTGCATTATTTAGCAGGCATCTTAACACTTAGGAATAAATGAGTTCACTTATGCAGTCTCATTCAAGGAAATGTTTTGCCTGAACCCCTCCTTCAAAAAGATGTGGCTCGTTTCCCCAGTTATATTAGCAATGATCAACCAAATGCCACTCCCGCTTTTTAAAAAGAGCAGGTCACTTTACATTAGTATGAATTGATCCAACAAGCACATACCTATAATACAAAGTACACCACTTTATTGCGAGGTTCTTCAACAAAAAGAGGTTCAACTTAATCATAAAATACTTACTGACACATGAATTAGGATTGCCTGTTAAATGGATGCAACTAAGCTTTGTTTTTGTTTTTAAAGTAGCTGTTGCCCCAGAATTTGTTCCCCATATTTTAGAGGAGGGGGTTTGCACTGGTTTATTTCAGTTTGCACCTCACAACATACCTATGCTATAATTTTGCTATCACATGGGGTGTATTTCTACTACAAAGGGAATGTCTACAAGGTCATTTTAAACATGAGATTATATTTACAAAAAGTAAGCTGAACACTGGAGTTCTAGATAAAGCTGAACATTTTTACCTTTATAGGAAGTGTTATAGGCTAGCTTCCTGTGGCTTTATATATAGTCAGACATCAGGCACTAATGATTTGATTAGTTCTGTACAAAAGGAAAAAAAAAAAAATCACATCCCACTGTCCATTTAGTTGCAATAAGCTAGTCACCACACCTTGCTGCTGGTTAACTTCAAATTGTTTTTAAAATTAACTCCTCTGTGTTGAGGTACAGGAGTCTTTGGGGGATTCCCCACTTAACTGTTTTAAGATTACTCCACAGTTTCATCCCTTCAAATCCCTTTGCAGAGAGGAATAAACTAAGCTGCTGCACTAAGTCAAAAACAGTATTCAATTAAGAGTCTGGGAGTAACAGGATAGAAGAGATGGTTACATCAACTTGAATTATTAAATTTGAAAGTCATTCAACATAAAGAAATATACTGTTTTCTACCTCTACACAGCAAAGTAGACAAGAATTCCTAGATTAAGTCCTTTAGAAATAAATTAAAGTTCAGAGACCAAGGTAGGGAAAATACTGTACATTCAGAATGCATTATACTCCCATGAATATTTGTCTTATGTTGTGTTCCAGGTACAGAATACATGCCTAATGCACCCTGACAAGTCTTCAGTTGTACTTATTTGCTGGGAAGGGCATTTGGTCTGAGGGTCTGGACTGCCATGGCTGCACATATCTATGTTGGGCACAATACAAGCCTAGTTTCCCCCTTAGCCATAAGAATTAAGACAATATTTAAATCACCATAGTTTGATATTACTTCCAATAAGTACAATATTTATTAAACATTTCTTCAGTTGTTTGTTACATATTGTGCAACAAATTACAATAGTCTGCAGCCACAAATTATATGCAGAGTATGAAGAAACTATTAATCAGATAGTGTGATCTTTCCATTTATAATTCTACAAGAAGGAACTAGCAAATCAGATCTTACATATAACATCTTACTAAACTTTATGCATGGAAAGTGACAGACACTGTTGTGCTGTTTGATACAAAATGGCTGAACTTCATCTTCAGAAGACTAAACCCGACATCTAAACATGCCAACATCAAAAACAAAAATACGTTCTAACCAACCACGGGAAACAGTCTGGTATCAGGAAAAGCAACGAGGATTACACACATTTATAAACCAGCACACAAAGGTTTAAAACAGTTCTGAAAATGAAGTTAGCTGTCTTGAGTCAAGGGAATAAAAAAAGTCAGTATTGACCATTTACAATCTCTGACCTTTGTGGAGACGGTAAGAATCTGTTGTAGTGCAGCTACATACAGTACAATTCAGGCAATTTTTTTTTCACTTGGGTTCAGATTGCAAATTCATTGTTGTGGGACAAAAAGGGGGAGGCAGATTTTAGCAGCAACCTCCACTAGACTGCTTGACTGGAGTGCTCTGAATTTTAACATTGGACTTCTCTGCACCACCAGCTGTAGCTCCAGGACCCATTCGTTTTTTAATCTCGGCAGCCATGGTCATGAAAGACTGTTCTACATTTGTTGCATTCTTTGCACTGGTTTCCAAAAATGGAATTCCAAGGGAATCTGCAAATTCCTGTGAATAAAAGTGAATAAAGTTTTAGTACTTTCATTGGAAGGCTCAGAACATGCTTGAAGCTACATACAATGTAGTTTCCACACAGGTGTAAAGGAGCCACTGGTTTCATAATGCCATCCCACTCCCTCAATTTGATCATGTGCTGTGGGCAGCCCTTGAGGACCATCAGGGTCTGCATTTAAAAGGCACCTGCATAGCTTCCATTAGCATCAAGGTATGCAAGTAGCATGGACTCCTGTGTGGCAAGTCCCAAAAAGCACATTTACATGCTGGTCCTTTAAATCTAGCCGACCTACCTTTGCTGTTGTATAGTCTACTACTTTCTTTGTGGTCAGATCACATTTGTTCCCTACCAACAACTTGTTTACATTTTCACTGGCATAACGATCTATTTCTTGCAGCCACTGTTTTACATTATTGAAGGACTCCTAGAAGATAAAAAAAGGGATCACATTAAGGGCACTATCATCTTTAATTTGATGATTTAGAACCATTCAAATCTTGGCAAGTTCACTGCAAGTACATTTTATGTCCAGGGATGATATGCAAACCGTCCAAACACCTGTATTTTGCCTTCCAGCTGTTAGGACTCCAACACAAGGAGAAGTCTATGGCTCAGTATAAATAACCCAGCCGCAGGCCAGTTCTTCTGGCCTAACCATTGTCCCTCATATTCCAGGGCTTTCAGATACTGCAAAAATAAGTCTTGAAAAGATCCCCAGCACTCCACTGTTTTCCTCCAGACAAAGACAGGACCCAATAAACATTCAACCCCACTGGCTTCCCCTGGTAGGGCACCAAGCAGTTGGAAAACAGCACATACACTTGCCCTTAAAGAACAAATAAATACATATCAGACCACATGCCAAACTGGAAAAAAAGGAAGCCCTTTATTACAGGAGTCTGACATGAAAGGAATGTTCTGCCTAGGTGATAGCAGAATTGTATGCGAGACTGGGGAGCAGTTAGTCAAATTAGAGAAAGTTACTAAAAAGCCTTGCTTCCTGTGCTGTGAATTGAGCTTACAGAGCTCTAAGCCCATCTTCATTACCCTCTCCCCAAAGGTCATCAGAACAGACTTTTTTTAACCCTTACCTTTGAGCAGCTATCAACTTGTTACAAGATTGGTTTGACTGGATATATCTGTTACATTCTGTAAATCTATCAAGCCAACAAGGCTATTTCATAAAACATCTAGTCAGACATAACACATCTAGTGACACCAAATCACTCTGGTAGCAGGTTACATTAAGCCTTACCACAGAAGTTTTTTTTAATCAAAAGAAACTTGTGTCATAAAGGAGCAAGTGGGCCTTGGAAATATATTCCTCCATTGAGTTAGGGAATTACATTTTTACATTTATCTTTTCATGCAAGCTTGAAACTTCTGCAGATGCCAATGCATTAACAATAACCCATAAGTTCTGCTGAAAGAGGCAACTTGCCTTTAACTGCATATCCCTCCCCTATGGGCATAAAAAAAAAAAGTCACCCAAAAAAAGTGAGCTGTTAAAACTAGACTTAAGCACTCAAGTCTAACAAGTGGTGCATTATGGAAAGAGATGGATTTTTTTTTTTTTGCAGTAAAAAGGTATCCTTCCTCCAAATGCTAGTTCCAAACACAAAGTATTTCAGTACAAGAGCCAAATAAAGTCACCATCTAAAAGGTAACTGACTTTGTATGCTCAGTAGGTAAAGCTGCTAAGAGAACACTTTAATAATGCGTAGTTTAGAACTTACCTGATCTGTAACATCATACACAACTATGATGCCATGGGCTCCTCTGTAGTAACTGGAAGTGATGGTTCGAAATCTCTCTTGCCCTGCTGTGTCCCACTACAAATAGAGTGCAAGTTACACTGAGGATGCAGCTATAATTACCGCATGGATCTTGCCATCAAGTATAAAAAAGTAACAGCACTGAAAAAAGCTGAAGAACTCTTTCCCGCCCCCATTTTGCTTTATAAATACAACCTTGACTGCAACTGAACACAGCCTAGTCTAATTTCTAGAGCTTCATGTTACTGACACCACTACAGTATTTCCTTCAGCATAAGGAAAGAATCTAGTTACTTAAAACATTTTCTGCAGGCCCACTACCAAAACAACAAAACTATTGCCTTGCTAGCATAAAGGGACAAATTGGGCAGCTTTCTTCAGACTTTGAACACAAGGATAACTAAAGGAAGGCAGGTTTATCCCAAGCCAATGTGAAGGTAGTAGTGATACTAAAACCACCCACCTTAAGCTGCCTTAAGGCTTTCAGGCCACAGATCACACTTGCAATGTCAACTACATCTAGAAAAGTTCTAGACCTGATCCAGGCTGCTCAAAAAAAATGGAAATACGTATTTGGGTAGATTGCCTCTGGGACACTGATTTGGAATTAGTTTCTATTAGTCTGTCAGCTTTGACCTTTTTCTATTGTAATAGGACAAGGGCATGCCAGAGACAGATGCAAGTGAACTCAACAAAAATACCTAGTTAATCATTTTAGGAACAAAAAGCCAAAGTTTACTTTCCCTGTAGGTCTTAACATGCTTTTGGCCAGTCACAGTTCTGCTGCAGCCCCTTTGTGCCAGCTAGGCTAGTGAAGATGTGTACCTATCTTATGGGGCCTGAAAAATTTATAAGAGGAGATCTAGATGCATAGCACAGCCTAGTTCTGTACTAGCTGGTAGCACAATTACAGAAGAGGGGCAAGGCCAAATAAGTACTAGACCCATACAGGTAAAAAGTTCCTTTAGGACTGTAGAAGCCCCCCAGTAAAAGCTAAGCTGTCCTCAGAGCAGGGAAGGGGTTGACTATATTCAGTTATCTTCCTAATACAAAAGATTTAGGCAACACAATGTAGTTTGTCATGAGTTCACTTGCTATCCTTTGTGTATTAATTAGGCAAGTCAAGTAGTTATTAGAACACTGGAAAGCCCCCTACAGCTGCACTTCAATGGTGTTATTTTACCCCTGC